TTTTGGCTTGAATGTTAAATAAGGTCAAATAATCTCTTTAGATAAATGCAGGATATTTAGACGTACGATATCATACTTATAAATTAAACTAAAAGTATTTTTATCGATTAACTGTTCTCATACGTTGAAATTCAGTTCAGTTCGGCTCCTAATTTCCTTCTCTTATAAAATATTCATTTCACTTCAGTTCAGTTCAGTTCAGCTCATAATCTCCTTCTCTTATAAAATATTCAGTTCAGTTCAGTTCAGCTCAGCTCAGCTCAGTTCAGTTTAGTTCAGTTCAGTTGAGTTCAGTCAATGAGAACAGGCCCTAAAACTTATTTTTACTACTTCTCCATTACTTTATACGTATATACACAAAGTATTGTGTAGAACATACTCGCGTGAGGCTGGTCATACAAACAGGGGAAAAAATAAAAATGAGGGAAAAAAATTTAATTGTCAGAAATTAGATAATAATAGTTAGATATTAGATTATAAGTGTCAGAAATTAGATAATAATGGTAAGATATTAGATTATGGGCGTGTTCGACACTAGCTTTTGAGTAGCTTTTAGTGGTTTGACTTATTCAAACCACTACTTAAAAAAAATTATGAGTGTTTGAGAATGTAGTGGTGGGGGTAGAATTTAGTGGTTGAAGTAGCTTTTGTGAAAAGTTAAGTAGCTGTTGAAATTTTCTTCTATTTTTTTAGAACTTTACAGCTAACAGCTAGTTTACCAAACACTCGTACTTAATTATTTATTTCATAGCTAACAGCTAGTTGACAGCTAACAGCTACACATACAGGTAACAACCACCATCATAGCTAACAACTACCTTTACAGCTACATTTTGCCGAATTCGCACTATACTTGTCAGATATTATATTATAAGTGTCCGGTATTAGGTTTTAATTGTCAAAAATTTGATTATAATGGTCAGATATTAGATTATAAATATCAGAAATTATATTATAATTGTCAGAAATTAGGTTATACATATCAAATATTAGGTTATATATAGTTTTGCCAAAGAACAGACCCTCCATTTCTCGACCTCTAATTCGTCCAGTGTACTGCACACCAACGATTTTTACGATGACAAAACACACCGTGTAAGATTCGGAAGAACAAGAGAGAGAAAGTTGGTGGGTCTGTGAATTGGGTTTCTTCATAATCGTTTGATTCCCCTTTATGATTGTAGGAGGTTGTCATTTTGATAAAATTATGATAAATTGATGAATGAAGAACACGGAGAATTAGGGTTTTTGAAATCTTGTTGTATTTAGAGAGTAATGGGGGTTTGAGATAATCAAAGCTTTTTCTGGGGCAACTTCAAATGTTCTGTTTTAGAAGTCAGAGTGACGATAAGTTTGAAAAGCCAAAAAAGGTAGGGGAGGGTCATCGGCATCGGGGGTTGGGAGGGAGAAGGTCGCCGGCAAGGGCTTGGTAGTGATAGTGGTAAGGGGATGGGATGGGAGTATGATTATAAACCGAATTGACGTGAAACAGATTCACACAAAACCTTAACTATATACAACTTCCGTTTCTTTTTAGTTGACACGTATTCCTTTTTAGGAAGTTTTTTTTAGTTGACACGTTTTCCTTTGGGGTAAATTTTTTACCTTGCATTTACAAGCTACCACACTTGCTTTTTCATTCTATCTCACTCTCTCTCTCCTCTCCTTAATATATGTGCCTAAATCAAACGCGTCAACTAAATAGAAACGGAGGAAGCATATTATAAATGGATCTTATTTTAAAGAGCTTTTTAAAGCGAATTTTATGATGGATATAGAACCGAGTTATTAAAATTTTATTAAAAGTTATGATTAATTATGTATACATGAAATCTTAGTAGTGTATCGATAATCAAGCTCTATACAACATTTTAATCTTAAAAAATCTATCTAAAATTCAATTATTTAGATCCTATTTGACGAAAAACTTAAATGTCCAGTATTGTTGTCTTGTAACCTGGCTGTAAGACCGGCTTTATTTATTAGTGATATGATATGATATGATATGCCGCCTTTAATTCACAATTTTTCATTAATAGTTAACTCAAGTATAAAACATGCTAATATTCACATTATATTCGAAAAAAGATTATCCATTCTACTTACATAACAATCATAATCGGATACACCCCTAAGTGATGGACACGAGCTTAAATAAATTTTGCGAAATAGAAATAATACCACGTAAAATCGTAGTTATGGGATGCAATGCAAGTATGCGACAGACATACCGAGCGAGTTTTTCTACTAAGGCCCATGTTGATGAAGAAGGCTGCAATGGTGGATAACAGAAGACCACTTCCAATGGCACGAAATCCTACAACAAATTTCATTCATTTTAAAACTAGTTATACCAAAACCTTATTTAAGGTAACCAAAAATCCAACTCAAATTGACCAAAATTAAGCAAAGTTAGTCAAAATTTAACCTTGGAAAGTTTCCCATGGATAAATCACACCATCATGATTCCTATCAAAGAATATAATGCTACATGTTTAGCAAGCACATTTTCTCCTGTTCCTTCAACTTCATTATCAATTTAACGAAATTCAATAATTATAAAAAATATCGTAAGAAAAAGGCATTAGTTAAGTATGATTAGTAGTAATATTTATTTGAAACGAACACATACATACCTTTTATTTTGATTAATAAATCCATTTGTAACATCCATGTTATCCAAGTAATTAGATGCTTGCTCTAATACTTTGGTAATGGAGGCCGGAAACGTTGGAAGAGAATTGAAGGAGAGTTTGCTAATGAGAAAAGGCAATACGTATGGCAATGTTAATTGGTTGGTTCTTGATTAAATACTTGGTAATCGTACTTTGTATATAGAAAGTAACCTAATAAAACTCATCATATCAGTAGAAAATTTCTCACATTTAACTAGCCTTTTGGCCAGGTTAATTATTTTCACATAGAGGTATGCTTTTTAAAAGTTGAAACTTTTGATATATAATATACAAAGTACTCCGTAGTTGTTTCATTACTAAAACTTAAAAGAAAAAAAAAAAAAAAAAAGTTAGAGTAGAACTGTGAAACAAGACAAAGGAATTTGGTTAGGTATACCGTATGTCCTTATACACATGAATATTGACTATATTGTGGAATATGAAACGATATATTAGTTTAAGTTACATTTTTAGTCTAGGAGAAGACGTTTTTATTATAATTCATATGTAATAATGTTTATGTAATGTGTACTAATTATGGTGGAAATAAAACATTTCATTTTCTAACTTGAATTTGTAAGTTATATAATGCATAAAGACTTAAACACAAATATTAAGGAAGGTTACATGTGGCATATGGGGTAATGAGCGACTTGTGATGACATGTGTCATGTGAAAAATTTGTGGTTTGTGTTTTTAAAATACTAAGGGTTTGTTCACATTTACTGAACTGAGCTGCACTGAACTGAACTGATTGAAGCTTAACTGAACTGAACTGAGCTGAAATGAATATTTTATGAGAGAGAAAAATTAAGAGCTGAACTGAACTGAACTGAACTGATTGGAGCTGAACTGAACTGAACTGAACTGAACTGATTAGAGCTGAACTGAACTGAACTGAAATTAAGTAAATGTGAACAGACCCTAAGTATAGATATAGATTTGTTATAGTATTACTACGTGTAATAAGGATCCAATTATCCAAATTGAGAAAGGTTACTCAACATGAAAATAAAGTATGATTCGAGCAGGTAAACACGAGTTCAATTGCTTTATATAAGTGGGTCGTTGGAATAATTTTGGAGATTCTTAAACCTTTGATACAACTCACAACAACAGCTTTTGAACTAAACAGATAAAAAGTAACAACGTGCATACTAATGTCACAACACTCACTATTATTCAACGTTCAAGTTGGCATAATGGCATGGCATTATCAACCAAATTAGTTTATTTTAGATTAATTAACATGCTTTAATGCAGATATAAGTAGATTATTCCTAATACAAAGCACCTCATTACAAAATAATTATAATTATAAATAAATCTCAATAAGATCAATGACAAATTAAAATGCATTGGCTGGTCCATGGTTCAATTAAAACTATCTTAAGCTATACTTTTGGGTATGATATTCAAGAATTCTGTCTCTAGTGGGTGACCTACTGAGTACTGAAACGCTAGTTATCAAAAAGAGAACTTAAAGAGAAACAAAACATTATACTTGTTAATTGTTGACTTGAAATCTAGTGCAATGGCAAAGGGTTAACTTCAAACGCTCGTATCTCTCAATACAAAGTGATCTTGAGGTGATTTAAGTTGGAGGTGATAGCTTGTTTCAAGATCTTTCCTACGATAGGTAATATGCCCAATTCCAATAAGAAACGAGAAAGTTATGGTTGTTTTACGTACAAAACCTGACGAAGTTGGAAAATTGCGACAAGCAAGCTATAGCTCGGCCCTATGAGGACTTGTGGCATGCTTGAGCTAGCTTCCGAGCTATAGCTTGGTAATTTGATTCTTTTAGGATAATTTATCATTATGGGATAATTTCTAAAATTATATCTTTTCTTTGACGGCTATTTGAGTATACTTAGGGAATAATTTAGGATTTTTTTAGGCTTTCCTTATGTTACATAAGGAACCGTTGGGTGGACAACTAGAAATGCTAAATATTGATTGATTAGCCCAGCCAATTCAAGTCGTTATGGTACTCCATTGAGAGATTTTGTGTGAGATGGAAAGTGTTGTATCTCCTTTTGTTATCTCTCTTGTTTATCCTCCCTGAAATCTATTAATCTAATAAGAATATATTATCCCTTACCCCGTGGACGTAGGTCTTGTTGACGTGCATCTTTAATGCTAACATAGTTTGATCGTCAATATGAAACTGTCCAGAAACACTAATTTGAGACGTTGTGGTGTAGAGTGAAAACGCATAACAAACAAGTAATTAATTAATCATAGGAAATACTTATTTAAAACTTAATGATAACTGGTATGATAATATTATGAAAATTTACCTAAATTAAACCCCCAAAAATCAATCAAATTTGGCCCTAGGCCCAATTGTAAGGTGCTACAAATCAAAACCAATAGTACATCTAGCTTAAAGAGTAGATGACAATCATGACATAGGAAAGAAAATACCGTTTCTTTCCCAAAGTCAACTAGAAATCAAACTCGTGACCTTAAAATTCACAAGCTCGCATTCCTATCACGAGACCAAGGCTAGCTTGGTAGTAATATTCACCCCCGACACACACAAACACAAATATGTGACATAATACAACCTTGTAAACTGTAATAACAATGTACATAAAATTACAATCAATATCACACAATCACTACAATGAACAACAATGTATAAATTCAAACCCAACTATTAGATACATAGCCACAACAACGATTTGATGCTGACAGTGAAGATCAACTGCAATTAACTTATTTATCTCCTCCATGAACACTTGAGAAGAGAAGAAAGGAAGGAAAATAATCAGAATTATTTACTAGTTTAAAATACTTTACAATTGATATATTTGAATCACATAATACGTATATATATATATATATGCTTCAATAATTCCAACTAGCTTCTTGAAAGTTTACCCTTGTTTGTGTTTCTTAGATTGTGCATCCTTCTCCATCTGCTCGAATAAGCTTCCATCGTACACTCCTCGAATGGTTTGTTTTGGCAAATAACCATTCTTGTCCTTGCACAGATAATATAGAATCTTCCATTCAGAATAGGCAGCAATCCTGTGAAAAAAAGAAAGAATTCGACAATTATATATCTAGTTTGAACCATTTAACATATGTTGATACATGTGCACATTAATATGAAATTAAATTTACGAAAGTGAGTGTTGCTAACCATCCTCCATAATCTTTAGGTTCTCTGTTTGCCTTGAGCATTTCATTAAGTTCATCAGAAGTAAGAGCATTCGCACATGTATGAGCATGCTGCTTAAAGATATCTTCAAACTTCGATTCTACAAACCTTCCATTACAAAAAATTAAATGATCATAAGTACAAAACATAGCTACTAGCATAAGAAAGGTATGACACATTTAAATGTTCCTTTTGTTTGATCATTTCAATGTTACACGTTTGCCTTTACAATATTCTACCATGCGCCCCTTTAATGAAAGTAATAAACGTAATACTACTTACTGTAAATTTGAATGTCACTCAACGGGTTATGTAAAGGTCAAGATCAATTACAACATTAAATCAATATATATGTTGATTAGAAACAAATTTTATGATAAGGTTTCGTCGCAACTCAAAGATAACAAATGTAGTTTAGTCTTCATTGGATGGTGAATAAGCTAAGGTTCATGAAAGACAAACGTAGAAGTTAAGTTAAAGTTAACAACATACCTTCCTTGTGTGTCGTAGACATCGGTATCACTCCCATGTTTGGCTTTGGTGATATTCTTTATCTCTATTGGGAAGAGCAAATTAGGAAATTTCCCCTATATTCACGCCAAAAATACAAATAAAATCAGATGTCAAATTTTAATTTCTTGAAATTTGTAGTATTTAACATGTGAAAAATACAACCATTGCATGCTAATATGTTTCATATAATTTTTAGTCTCATTTTGCAAGTGTTCCAATTCATAGATGGAAACTCTCCTAGCTTAATAGATTAATACTTATTTTATTTTATTTTCATTTTACAAGTGTATAAATGGTACTTAGGGACCCTTCTCTCAATAATACGCGATAAATACTTATTTTTGCAAAATTGCTTGGATATACATTATGCAAGTCGTAAAGCGGGTTTTAGTTTGTTGCATACATACCCATATATAATACTCATGGACCTCATGTAAATCAAATGCCAATAACCATTGATTTGTAAATAATACAAGTACCGTTTTAGTCACTTTTTAATAAAAAAAAAAAAAAGTATTTAAAGCCTATATACAACCCTAAAAAATGTGTTAGAATTAATTTGATAAGGTCATGCAATTACCTTCCTTACTCACCAACTAAAAATGCTTGTCTTGTTGTTGTCTTGTAAGTAAAAGAAAACAAGTGATTGATGAATTTAAATTAATTGAAAAATAATTAATTTGATGTCTTATTTGAAATTATCTGATCTTCTCTTAACTTTGTTGAACTTATTAGCCCTTATTAACTAGAACTTATTATAGTTATAAATTAAACTTGAGCAGCCCTGATTAACCCTTATCACAATTAATCTGAACTTATCTTATCTTATCTGAACTTATCTTATCTTATCTGAACTTATCTCATCTTATCTAAGCTAATTTGTTCTTTACTTTTATGAAATGCTTTCATTACTTTCTCTTTTCTATTTCCCCAATTATTTGTGCACCATATTGATTTACAAAAGAATACACACTACATAAAACTTTTTAAAGAATAGCAAAACACTAGGCCTTGCACGATTCGGTCCATTTTTCTTGAATTGGTATTGATTGTTCGTCCCACCCTGGCCCATCAACCCACTTTATATTGTCTTCTTTTATTTGATTTTTAACTTTTCTTTTTTTTTTTTTATTATTATTTAAACAAAAAAAAAAACCAATAATGTCTTTAGAATTTTAGATATTTCATAACCAATATGTGGTGAATATTGGAAAACAAAAGACTATTTATTAGCATACACACACACCACAAAATTGGAAGGAAAAAAAAAATCCATATTCCAAAAATTAACAAGTTTGTGTCCTTTTTGTAAAATATGCAAATTATACACACAAATTTCGTTATATAATGGATGTCTTCTATAAAATGTACAAACAAATAAAATCGAGAAAGTGAAATTGAAAGTGAAAGTAAAAGAAAACTAGAGAAAACATAAAGAGCAAGAAAACGATGGCATTTGTAAAGCAAAAACAGAAAACAACGACATACATTGTGTTAATTATTTTGAAAGCGAATGTATTGAAGTGAACCTCATTAGTTTCTCAAAAAAAAAAAAAAAAAAAAAAAAGCAAACCTCATTAAAAAAAAATAAAAAATAAAAAAAAAACCGAGTTTCAATTAAGGGATGCAAATCATGCAATAGTGACATACAGGGCGGGTTTTGCCACTTAGGCCCATGTTGATGAAGAAGGCTGCTACTGTGGATAACAGAAACCCACTTCCAATGGCACGAAATCCTACAACAATAACAATAAATCCCATTAAATTTTAACAAAATTAACCAAAAACCCATTAAATCAAACAAAAACCCAACTCAAATTCATCAAAAAAATAAGTAAATTTGACAAACCTTGGAAAGTTTCCCATGGATAAATAACACCATCATGATTCCTATCAAAGAAGGCTACATGTTTAGCAAGCACATTATCTCCTGCTCCTTCAACTGCATAATCACATAACAAACTTTACTAATCCATGAAAAACCCGCAAATATACAAGCATGATTAGCAACAGTACTCCCTCTGTTTCTAAAACTTCTTCCTGTTTGAATTATAATCGAAAAATAACTTACCTTCAGTTTGATTAGTAGTAATTCCACTTGAAGCATCCATGATTTAACAAAGGAATTAGATGCAAATTTAGTGGTTTATTTTCTTCTACGTTTTACGGTGATTTATGTCGTTTGAAAGTTGCAAAAAAAAGATAATATTGAAGGAATGTTTAGAAAGGTGGTTAAATAAACAATAAATTAGTAAAGTTAAGAATATATGAAAGTGAAGGAAATACGGTATGTTATTTATATATATATATAATAACTATATAAGTATGTAACAAATAATCTGTCATGCCTTTTAAACTTGCTTTATGTATGAAATTACACGTTGCTTTTACATTATGTAACGTTTATATAACTGCTTTTGTGAGCTGTAAGCGAAGTTTGATTGCCACGCTTTCAATCTAAAGTAATCCTTCAATTGTTGCTTTTGTCGTTGATCCTGTTAGAATTTAGAAATGGGAGGTTTCTTCTTTCTTCATGAATAAGGCATTTATTGTTTTGTTTTGTTATGGGATGAGATATTGTATATTTGAGATGGGACGTCACTTAATTGTTCATTCGGTTACTTTTGTGTTAGAGGAAATAATAATACAAAATGATATGATCATATGAGGATATTTAGTTTTTCGAGGTACTCCTTGCACACGGGATTTGCATGTGAACAAAGAAATAGAATTGGTTGTATCATTAAGAATGGGATGTTAGTGGGGCAAGGATGGGTCTCGATTTGACGGGTGGTAAGGGGACGGGGATAAAAATCATATCCACCATGGGTGATGGGGTATTTGCATGTAAACAAAGAAACATAATTGGTTGTATCATACAGACCTATATACTAATATAGGTACATACAATCTTTCTACGTATTATATTAATCTATTAAAAGGTGCTCTTAAGGTATCTGATCCTGATTTCTTTATGGTGCCAAAGAATCTTTCTATACTAATGTATTAAAACGTATTCTTAAAAATGTATATGTGTCATGTTTACCCTTTTTTTTTTTTTTTTTTGAGAAAACGTAGACCCTTTTTAGTATGCCACATCCTACTCAACTTCTCATTATGCCACGTCATCACTCAATTAGCCTAGCTTAACCATTATGCCACATCTATCACCCTCTCAACCGACATTACTCGGTATAAAAACATGATGAGGTAAGAATGATGGTTATTAATGATTTAAGCCAATCATCAACTATGTTATAAGTATGAAAATAAATGTATATAAAGAGTAGTTGTAATACACAAGATAATATATATATATATATAAAACAAAAAATAAATATCAAATGCATATAATAACAACTTAACAAGGAATTTTTAAGTAGTTTGATGATTATAAGTTAAATGAAAAGGTAGAAATATTCAAGAAAACACTTACAAGAAAATGGTTAAGAATTTAATTGTAGTATACATGAATGTGCTAGGGTTTTTTTTTTAGCTGAACTAGCAACTTGATAAGTTCTCACCTTTTCCTTTAAAGTCAATAATTTTGTTGACTTCAAATTTGGATTGTGTGTGTCTATACATGAATGTTACTTCAATTTTCATACCACAACCTTTGCAACTAGCAAGACATGACTCTTTCAGTAAATATTTGTTTTCATTGCCTAATGCCTACCAGTCTACCATATAGCGCAATTAGTTAAAACAACGTAACCCTGCCTCTGACAAATTGCCTCTACCTCATTCACCACTCTTAAGTCTAGCTTAACCCTAATAATATTACATGGATCTAGTGTCGAAATAATATAATTACTAGCATGATGCTCAATAGAGCTTGGAAAAACATACTCTCTTATACTACATTTTATCATTTAGAATTTTTATACCTTCCATTACAAATGGTATTTCATACTAATTTCTTAAATATCAATAAAAGGAAAATCATAATTATGGAATCTTATTCGCCTCAAATGTGTAGTTCTCAAATATTAAAGATATTTACGTCTGTACATATGAATGCACGTATAGACAATAATAGCGCAAAAGATAAAGATGGGGTATAACTGTACAAGTAAACACTGTGTATAACGAGTGGAGAGATTAGTTACATTATGGTGATGATAATTATTAAAGTAAATAGTAGTTATCATGCAATTTAGCTAGCTTAGTCAAATTAAATGTTGTTATATCTCATAATTATATCACTTTGTTATTAGTTTGTTAGCTGTAGATAACTTTTAGCTACCTTTGTAATTATCTCTAGGCTATTAACTACTCATTAGCTTAACTTGAAGTTATCAATATGCCTATTTAAAGGCTTGTATATATTGATCAAGAGTTATAATATAACAAGTATAATCATATAATAAAAGAGTTATTTACTGTGGTTATCTTCAACAGGTTGTTATGTGTTAGTTTACAAAGCACTTATAAGTATGTTTTAATTACGACGACAACGAATTGGCCTATATAAATTATATCTAGGGTTTATGAAAGGAAGTTATTGCTTAATTAAGTCTATATATATTGACTAAATTGTACGTAGTATAAATTACCTTGGATAAGGAGTTGTACATTTTAAGTTATTAACCAATTAAACCGACATGATTCAAATTCAGATCCTTTAATACGAAGTATATCATATTAAGCATCATAAACATGTTGCATATCTAATTGAATTGTTAAATTTAGGATTACCCTTGAGGATTAGCCATGAAAATGATTAAAACAATAATAATTAAGCCTGTCAACCACACATTTATGTAAATTGGCATTTGCTCCACAATATTATTGGCTCTCCAAATTCTAGTTAGAAATCCCATTCCCATTGCATGTTATAAATTAAAATCACAAAAATAAGCTTCGATCTAAGGAAGTTTAACTAGCTAAAATCTCTAATACAAGCTATTTGATCGATAATTGTTTTTGAAATAACACGTTGTGCTATTGTTTGTGCATCAACATTTTCACGAGTAAGACCAATAATTTGGTAAGTCGTAACATTCATAAGAAATAGTTATTATCAACATCAATAATTATTTTTTATTTTTTTTTGTGTGTGTTTAAATAGCCACAAGAGTGGGGTGAGAATTGATATGATCTCGCCCCAAATCGGAAGAAAAGCTCTAACAAGTTAAAGAATCCCTTACTCTCATAACTACCCCAAATCAAAGAATGGTAAAAAGATAGAAAACACGTACCATAAAACTCAATTTTACTACGCCGTGACATATTGATTTTCCTTTTATTTTGACGTTTGAAGCACGCAAATGCAACGTGACCAACACAATCACAAATCTCTTGCGGAAACCCTTAATTAAGGTTTCTCCCGGTTACTAGACTCGGATATTAAATTAGAACTTCAAGCTAAGATAGCTACGAAAGCTGGAAGAAATAAAGTTTATTTGCGTTAAATTAGTTTTTTCTTTCTTAATTTTAAGATCTCTTGTTAGAAATGAACATGAAGAGAAAAAATCTCATCAATTTTGCTCTTAAATTTAAACTTCTGTTATAATTTGGCTATGAGAGATCTTTTCTCAATTATTTTTGTATTAAGATGTTTTTTTAATCAACTAATTTCCTCAAATGTAGCCCCTCATGTCAAAATAAACGCTCAGTGTAATAATAGGACATTAAAAATTGTCATTATGATTAACCGAGATGTGCGCATAATTTGGGTAAAAAAAAACACGGTGTAAAAACTAAAAACTGAATAAAACAAAATACAAATAACTTCATCTTTTGGTTCATCTTTTAGATTAATCTGGATTTAGGGTTCGATTTTGAATGGATTGGTTCCTTTTCCCTCCTAATTATTGTTTGGGAGATGATAACTAAACGACTAAAACAATTATGTTAGTATAGCAAAATTCAGTTCTATACTCCCAAGACAATGAGAAAATAAGCCCTTTTGCATTGTATCACTACCACCAATAATTTAAACCCAATGATTTATTTTTATTTTTTTTTTATTTTTTTTGGGGGGGGGGGAGATTAAGCCCAATGATGAAAGACTAAAAAGCTAAGAGGGATAATTGATAAAGTTGGTAGAAAAAATTGTAAATAAGCGACAATTTTTAGATGATAAAAGTTGCTCAAGAGTCATGACAATTTGGTAACAACAATGATTTATTATTATTATTATTATTATTATTATTATTATTATTATTATTATTATTATTATTATTATTATTATTGTTATTATTATTTATAAAAAAAATTACTTGGATGATAACTGGACTTCAAATAAAATTTGGATTGTGTTTGTTTGATAGAGTATATAATATATTAATTTTAGCCTCAATCGTCTACTTTAATTTTTTTATTAAATTGATCATTTAACTAGTATTTTAGAGCCAACAAAACATACAAGTTACAATGTCAATCTAGCTTAATGAGCTACCATACTTAATATGGAGAATTGTTATTACCCTTAGACCCTTTTACATTTTGGACTTAATATTAGTTATTTCTATTTTCATACTTTTCCTTTTATATTCATCTTCCCTCCTTTACTCACTTTTTTTTTTTTTTTTTTTTTTTTTTTGGAGAACACTTTACTCACTTCATTTACAAAGAAGCTTCAATCACAAACACGTCAAAGACCTATACACATTGAAAAAATTTGAAAGGAGAAAGAAATTTATTATCACTTTAATGTGATGATTGCGACTAGCTATTTAACAAATTATACATGATCATTATCATACTCTTTTTCATTATATATTTGCATTTGATTTTGTCAACTGAGAAACCTCTGTTCGATTTTTTGACCTAATTGTAGCCGAAGTTGGTTTTATTGCCAAATTGTCTCTTGATGTATTATCTTAACTACCAAATTATTGGCTTATTGATTGAGGTATTCAATACATTGTTTGTCACTACCTCCAATAAATGTGATCTTAAGTGTTCTACAACAACTTTTAGTGTTTTTTAAATTTACATTACGAGTACTGTTTTAGCATAATAGTATGTATTTTGTACCAAACACTTATGATCGTTCATTCAATTTGACAACCACCTTTAATAATTCTACAACGTAATTGGCAGTTAATCTCCACAGCTTACGGTTACTAAAACAACTAGTATTGCCCAAACAACTCAAAATCTTGTTGTCCTAGTGTTCAATACTTGCACGTTAAAATTTATATGATAGGATGTTGCTTTACAATCAAGCTAGTGTATACTACTCGTAGTATGGTACTAAAGATAATATGAGAGTTTGTTAAGAGGTAAACATATCATTTTCATGTTTCTTCAAATGTTCAATCACGCATATAATCAGTTAGATTT